AGAGAAATTTGTCTATTATATCAGGTAATGTGAATGAAAAAAAAAAATGTTAGTTTAACAGAATTGGAATATAAACAAGTATCTGTATCTCTAAAGTAGACTTAAAACAGCCAGTTCATTCAAAGGGGGAATTACATTTCAAAACATCAAATATGGCGAAAAGCAAAAAAAAAAAAAAATTTTTTTAATCCCGAACTTTTTGCATCTCGTGAAAATGTGTGTGCCGAGACTTAGAACGTTCTGTTCATATTGTCTAGCATAAGAAGCCAAACAAAATCCATAAAATTTCAGAATCCGGGTTGAAACGAAAAATAGGAAACTCTGTTCTAGACTATCATAAAATATCAACTGACTAAAATGTACATGTATGACGTAACTGTGAACTCACATGCAAGAGAGAGCTGGCAGCGTACGTCATTATCACAGCTAAGAAAGTGCCATATGGACGGACGGGTTTGAACACATCTGAAAGTGGGGAAAAAAAAGGTAAATCATAGACATAATGACCATATCCTGGGAGATGTACATGATGGAACCCCCTTCTTCTTTTTTTTTCGTAAGGTTTGTTTTGTTTTAGTAGACGGTTTTACGACGCTCGCAACTGCATAAGGTCATATGAGCACCAGAAGATTAGAGCTGTTACAAGAGAGCAACAAACATAAAAAAGAAGAAGGGGAGATAAGGACGATAGATGTTTGATAGGAAAGAAGGAGCAAACCACACCAGAGCACCCGCCCACCACCCACTCGTAAGGTTCTTCTGCCCTCGCAACTGCATACAGTCATATGAGAGCCAAGGGGTGGATGTCTACAGTGACGTCCAAACGGGGAATCAGGCTTACTCTGCTCACCTCTCAAGCCTCAACTGCATACAGTCATATGAGAGCCAAGGGGTAGATGTCTACAGTGACGTCCAAACGGGGAATCAGGCTTACTCTGCTCAACCCTCTAGCCTCAACAGCACAAAGTCTCTTTCAACTATCAAGGCACCCCGAAAATAGAAGTTCACTAGAGAGTGACAAACATACAAAACAAGTAGAGGAAATGACGATAGTAAGGATGAGGAAAGAAAAAGGAGGTGGTAGTTCCTCCTATGATGTTGCTCTCGCACAGTATGAACATGACACAGATAAATCAGCCTATTTACAGTTTTACTGAGCATAAGAACATGTTAATATGTCCCCTTTGGGAATGGCCTAAAGACACTTCAGTCAGAAACACTGCCCTAGCAGGGGGGTGTGTGTTACATACATGTCTTCAGCCAGGAGTGCATGGGCAGGTTCCAGTTGGTGACCACCTCCACCAGCGACCTCGGGACCTCAATATGCTGAGGCTTTGCCACACTCCTGGGGAGGTTGAAACAAGCAAACTCTGGTTGTACACAAAAAGTAAAAGCAAAGATTGTTCTAAACGAGTCCAAAAATATGATCATAAACGCTAAGGACGACATCAGCAATAAGAAAGTAGTCTAACACACCCATAGCGAAATCGGCAGAATGCATGAATTTCTCAACATACAAGATCTACATATGAGGAAAAGACACGTAAGAAAAATTTTTGTGACCTAAAAATCGGTCCCTCATGTACGTGTTTCGCTATATGTACATTCTAGACCATGCATGAACAATAGAGGAACTTTTCACTAGACAGTGTGGTGCTAACAAACAATCTTTCTGGAAGTTTCCACGTGAACGTACCACTGTAGCTGAGACCCCCCATCGGGGCTGATGCCGCTCAGCGACGACGTCGCATCGGAGAGAAAACTGATGAAGTAATGGCTGAACCGGAACGACTGGGCGTCTCTGTAAGCCAGGAACCACCTGGTGAGGGTGAGTTTAGCTGTAGTAAAGAGTTTTACGGCACTTGCAACACAATAAGGTCACATAATTACAAAGGGATAGATGTGTTGCAAGAGAGGAGAGTATCATACATAAAAAAGGAGGAGAGATAAGGACGATAGATGTTTGATAGGAAAGGAGGAGGAGAGATAAAGACGATAGATGTTTGATAGGAAAGGAGGAGCAAACCACACCAGAGCACCTGCCAACAACGGAAAATACCCTCCTAAAAAAAATTCGAAAGCATGAAGCGTTTCCACAACGAGTACATGGCACATAACACACTGTTACGATGATTGGACAATGCAAGCAATAAATCGTACAAGCAGACTTCTGTGATATGATATTCATACTATCTACCGTTGAGACAAAGCCAACGACGATGGAGTTTCTCGAAGGGGTTTAAACAAATAACTCACATAAATATCGGGACTAAAGAGAGAAAAGTAGAAAGAAAAAAAAACCATTGCAAAAACATTCATTGGAAAATGCCGCCAAGTCCATCAGAATGTCCCATAACTTTCAAGTTTTAACTACCAGTTTTTCCCAGCTCTTAAAAAGTAGGTAAAATTTGAAATTGGCAGTCTGTTTGAAAGGTAATGAATAATATAGCCATGTTGAAACAGACAAAAAGGCTAATGTCGATGAAACAGAAGAGAACAGCCAAAGGTACACTTTTATTTCATGACCACTGAGGCCTAAGAATACGTGAAAAGAGAGGACTTGTCATATATTTGTAATGTGACTAGCGTGGTTCAAATCCTAATGTCCTAACAGGAAAAAAAAATGGCACCAAAAAACAAAATGTTAGGTCGCTATGTTGGTGAGCAAATCTGTCATTCCAAGTCAAAGTGACGTATCCAACATAAATCAAGTTTTTCTTATTTCATTGGTCTGCTATCCGAGTATTGCCCATATTCTTCTTGGGCTAGAGGCAGGACGAAACAGAACTTTATTCAATTACATGGCATTTGACAGAAGGGCGAGAGCCCAGATGTTGCTGGATCGATAACAACAACAACAACAACTACATTCAACACAGTTGTTTTCAAAGAGGTAAAACTATGTAAGTGACCGATATCAGTAGGCTACTATGTATCAAAGAGCTTTCACGTTTTTCTCAAAATCATAGAATGTGCAGTTATGTCGCTCTGCCTTTCGATGTGAGAAAACCTCAAACATAGTACAATGTTACAGGGGCCATCCGTACTTGTTCACACTATCCAGGATGAGCCAGTGAGTGAAGCAGTTGGAGTAGACCAAACAGAACACAGACAGGCCCGTCGTAGACAACACTTGGGCAGCCCACACCATACTCTGGGAACATAAACAAACAAAGAGATGCTGAAATCATTCTAAAACAACTGAAGCATTCACAATCACAAATACAGTAAAACAAAGAAAACTAATTCATAACATAAAGATTTACTTCAGGGAAATGTCAACTCGGGCAGAAATATACAATACGAAAAAAAAAAAATGAATTTTCTTATGAAAAACAACATCATGGGTCTTTAAAAAATACTTCTGATGTAAAGATTACATTCTTTGTCTTGCATATCTAAGACATGCATTCCACTCCCATCTGAGGCAATAATTTCTTTGTTTACTTTTGGGGGGGTGTCAAATGTACAACATCCCCCTCCCAATCGCTTTTCGTTTTAATCCCCCTCCCAATCGCTTTTCGTTTTAATCCCCCTCCCAATCGCTTTTCGTTTTAATCCCAACATACACACACATTTTTTTCAAACCCACTCACCATTGGATTGGCCTCAGCATCAAGAAGTTTGTAGTACTGCTCATACGTGATCCAGGGCCCAAAGATGACGGTGCCCACATTGAAGCAGTAGCCCATGTACTCAAATATATTGGGCAGGTCAGCCACGGTGCCTTTCCCTACATCATAGCCCAGAGAGATGATCTTCATGGACAGAAGAATCTGGGCCCCTGGGTTGAGGACAAACAACCAACAAAAAAGTCATTACCCTATCCGTACATCACGTGTTACTATCGTATCCATACGACGTGGGGAACTCTGTGCCATCACTTAACCCTATCCGTACAACACGTGTTACTATCGTATCCATACGACGTGGGGAACTCTGTGCCATCACTTAACCCTATCCGTACAACACGTGTTACTATCGTATCCATACGACGTGGGGAACTCTGTGCCATCACTTAACCCTATCCGTACAACACGTGTTACTATCGTATCCATACGACGTGGGGAACTCTGTGCCACCACTTAACAAAGAGGAAATTTACACATTAATCCAATCCGTACGCTCTGCATAGCAGTCTGTCAAAATTATTTTTTGAGAAATACACAAAGTTTCAAAGAGACCTTCGTACTAGAAGCATTCTAAAATGTGAAGAATACAACCCCTGGGGTACAAAATGACCCCAAGTATACAGATAGGGTTAAGATCAGTACTCAGTAAGGTCAGTACTACACAGTAATTATAACTAGCTTCCAAACAGTTTTCCTTGGGGGGGGTGGGGGGGGGCTGTTTTTTCTTTTTCTTGACGCACAACAGTTACTTCCTTAGTTGACACCTTACCTTTGTACCTTACAAATATCTGGCACCAAATTGCGACATCGGAAAAAAATAAAAGGTGCCACACAGCACAGAGGAGACATCAACTAGAAAAAAAAAAGCTCAAAATGAATGTGCCACTTCAGATGTAAAGGGTTGGCTTTGAGGCAAAGGAACCAGGGGTATGGGAAGAAGAGGAATAAGAAGTCAAACCGAGACGCAGTTTATAAAAAAAACGGCACCATAAAAGTAGTAGTATCTATAAAAAAAATTTTTATCAAGAGCATAAATATAAAAAATTAACACACTTAAAATAAACTGTGTTCAAAACATTTTCAACTCACCTCTTACTTTATGCCAAGTCGCTGGATCAGCCATAAATAATTCACTGAGAAGCAAATGAAAAAGAAAAATTACAGTTGACTCTCCAAAAAAGCCCCCAACAGAACAAAAATCTACAAAACAAGGAAGGAAACAAATGTTACCAAAGACAGAAAACTCACATCAGAGACATTACAGGGGGTGTTTTGCTCTTTGGCTCTGGGTCTGTGCAGATGGTTGTACAAGGCATTCCTCGCATGGAAAATATGACGGACTAAATCTGCTTTAATTTAATGTTGCCACGTATGGTAAATCTCTGACTACCGATTTTAATGATATGAAAATGAAAGACAGCATAGTAGATTTTACAATCACCTGAACAATCACCTGAACAAGCAACTGTGATTTATCAGTGGACTGCTCTTCTACCGTCTTGTGATCATTATACTGGGTTTTTAAAAATTTCCTATGTATTTTCCCAAAGAAATGGTATCCACAAGTTGAGACCTCTCATTCAAGAGCAAAGAAATTGAAATTTAAAAGTCTGTTTACAGTCATGTAATGAGACAAAAGGAAAACTCATACCAACTTACAAGAGCAGAGAAATTCAAATTTAAATGTCTGTGTTCAGTCAAGCAATGAGACAAAATGAAAACTCATACCAACTCACAAGAGTAGAGAAACTGAAATGTATAAGCTGTAGAGTGAAGGAAATGACATCAACACAACCTTCTTTATCGTAAGACAAAATTGTAAAGAAGGAATAGAATGAAAAAGACAACACACTTACAACAGTGAGCGATGACTCACTCCCCAGCGATACCAACTTTGCGGCCAGCCCAATCTCATTGTGTGTGTGCGTCCATATGCGTACATATGTGTGTGTGTGTGCGCGCGCGCGTGCGTAAGCCAGTATGTATGCTGTCGCTACAATGCCTTTTTTAAACTATTGCAATGAGACAAAGCAAAAAACTCGTACCAGCTGACAGCAAAGACGACCACAAAGACAGCACCGGCCAGCCCTGACCACTCGCGGCCCCAGATGCAGACCAGGACAAAAATCTGGTAGCTGAGAGCACAAGCGACCACAAGGTACAGCAAACTCATTTGGAAGAAAGAGTTGAGAGCCATGACGCCGAAGATGGCACTTCCAAGGTGAATTAGCCAGTGTGGGGAACCAGTTTCTTTGCTGCTTCCTGAAAAATAGATAGGCTAACATTATTAAAAAGTAGATGAACTATTCATTCAAAATTTAACACAATATAAATATAAGTCAAAAACTAAACTACTTTTGCATATTTTAATTTAAAGGCATGACACTGAAATAAAGCTGGCAATTAAACAGACAAAAAAAAATATATGTGTAAAAGTAAGAAACCTCACACTTCATTTTCTAAAGACCACTTCTTTTTTATGGGAAAAAATTATTTTTTTAAAATAATAAATTATGGGACGTTGACTTGTGTTGTAATCAAATCAGACCATGTGCAAAGACTTAGAGTGTAGGGAAATACAAATGATCAGGAAACATGTTACAACAGAACACTTCACACAAACATTATGTAAAAGGACTTTGGAAACAGAGCAACGAAAGGAACAGGAAAAATTTGTTATAATGTACACTATCGCGTAAATCATTTCTGTGACAATACAATTTTTCTTCCATCCAGCCCTGTAATATAATATAGTAAAGGGATAAGAATTAAGAAGCAAAGCCCAGATTCAACACAATCCAGCAGAGAATATGATCATCTTACAATGATAACTGGATTACCATACATCTACATCATTTGCTCAACAATAAATGTGAGGCAGCGTGGTGGAATCAGGCTCTCGTCAATTTTTGGGCGTGTAGACTTATTGGTATCATCTTAAAGCTTGTTCACTTGTCTTTATTTGGATGAAAAAAATACCCATTTATCTTGAATACAAGTCGAGATATTTGCAAATAAAGGAGGTGAGGGCCACCTGTTTTCAGAGGTGAAATTAGTGAGAAAATGGCCGCCAAAGATTAGTTATTTCTTTAGCTTAAGAGTATGTGTTAACTGAAAATTGACATTTTTTTACCTTTAATCAACGTTTTTCAGAAAAATCCACACAGAAATGAGTTCTTAAATGGGCATGAAAGGTGTTGAGCCAAAAATCATTTTTTAAATAAAAATTCACAAACATGCGGAAAAATGCAAGTTTCTTCACTTTGATTATTTTGACGATAGCCTGATTCCACCACGCTGCCTCACAAATATTAATGGCACAGAGCATGCTATACAGTGTAGCTATAAATGCATATGAAGACTACAGGGGGGAAAACGACTGAAGTCACAAACTGAAAATCATAAGGGTACCATTTTTTAACATTTGTTGACTCATAACTGTATTTCTGTTCAACTGTTGGTTGATTATTGTTAGATTTCTCATTCAACAACACTTAACAATAAACCACCAGTCAAATAAATATGAAGGTATGAGTACACAAGCTTTTTGGAGAAGAGTCAAGGAAATGGATGTACAGAAAAATGGGAAGACGTGGAGTGACATCAAGCGACTAGCCCAGGGTAGGGAAAGGTGGAAAGTGTTTGTCCGTGGCCTATATCCTGACCCAGGGTGAGAAAGGCAATGATGATGACACAAGCTTTTAAAATTGGCACCCTCACAATTTCCAGTTTGTGACTACAGTCGTTTTCCCCTGTGCGCTTCATATATTTATTGCTATCTTTTTTTTTTATCCACATAACTCCAAACTGCTGTGCAAAGATCGCACAGAAAAGGAGTACCCACCGACATGAGCCAGACGATTCAACAAACGAAACGTCAAACACAAGACAAACAGTGGAAGCAGGGTCTGGAGAGCTTGGCCGAGGGTGGGGGTCAGGCAGTTCTCTATCATTTCGCTGACAGGGATCCGAGAGTATTCCAAGGGAGAATGATCCACGCTGAGGGAGAAAACACAGTCAAGGAATGTCATGCCATATCGCAGTGTACTACAATCAACAATGTTAGGCTATACCGCAGTGTACTACAATCAACAATGTTAGGCAATACCGCAGTGTACTACTACTACAATCAACAATTTTAGGCTATAC